AATAATGAAATCGCAAGAACATTACCAAAGAGTATTTATTTATTAGAATTCTTTAATATAAATATAAATATATTCTAATACAAATCAGGCATTCTTAAGATTTCTTTTCCTTTATTTTTCACATGCATCCTCAATTTTTTAAATACCTCGCTATTGATCCAAACGTTCCCTACGAAAGCTTACATCCAACAACACCGCATAACGAACATATTGATAAAAAAAGAGCAAGATTAATCTATCAATCTCGTAAAAGAGGAATATTAGAAACAGATTTATTATTATCAACATTTGCAAAAATATTTGAAATCATTTTAAAGTAAGTTTTTATTGCAAATCAATTATGTAATTAATAGATTGATTGATCGATTTATCAATGTTCATTTCTTTTTAAAGATATATTTATAGCGGAATCCTTGAAATTAGTAATCTTTGTCCCAATGAAATCGTTAAACTTCTTGAAGCATGTGACGAATTGTGTTTTATTGAATTACTTGATGACTTGCAAAAATATTTAATTGAAAAACATGACAAATGGATTCAACAAAATTTAGTCTATGTATTTAAAATTTCATCAAAATATATTCAATTTATCACACTTCAAGAATATTGTAATGAGCTGATTACCCATAGTCCAGAATCATTTTTCAAATCTGATGAGTTCAAGACAATCAAAAAACCTACACTTGTATCAATATTAAAACGAGATAATTTAATTTTTAAAGAAATAGAAATTTGGGATTGTGTCATCCAGTGGGGAATTGAACAAAATATTGAACTATTACAGAAAGATATTGAAGAATGGTATGATTCTGATTATGAAATATTAAAGAATATATTGGATGATATTACGCCATTAATCAGATACATTGACATTTCTTCAAAAGACTTTTATAGTAAAGTCAAACCATTTAAAAAAATCTTTAACGAGGATTTATTTGATGAAATTCTTCAATATCACTTGAGTGATGGGTGGAAATCAAAATTATTAATCAAGGAGAAAAGAAGAGAAGGAAAATTATTGAATTCAAAAATTGAATGTTTTATTTCAAGCTGGATTGATGGTCAAAGTAATAATGTTTATGCTAAAAATAGTCTACTACCATATGAATTCAAGTTACTTCTCAATGGAAATCGTGATGGTTTTTCAAGATCGACGTTCCAAAAAAGATGTTATAATATTGAACACACTGTGATTTTAATGAAAATTGACAATTCACATGAATTAGTCGGTGGTTATAATCCCGTCTGTTGGAATTCAAATGAAAGACAATCAGAAGAAGAAAGTTATTTTATCAAAACTGACAAAAGCTTTATTTTTAAATTTGATGAAAATCCATTGGAAGATCCAATAATAAGCAGAGTTACCTTGCCTCTTTGTGCAATATATAATAGAAGCAGATGTAGCATAAATGTATATAACATAAAAATGATTGAAGAGCCACTGAGTTTTGTGGATTTACGTCTATATAATAGCACCAAGAACAATCCTTATTGTTTTTATCAAAAATTTGA